TATCTCTCTATCCTTCTCCCTTCCTCTCCCTCTAAAATCAATTAAAAACAAACAAACAAAAACTGTCTCCATTTAACACTAACTCCCCATTCCTTCTCCTCCCACCCCCGGTGACCTCCATCCTATTTCTGTCCCCTGCAGCATTCATAATAGCTTCTGTGACTGCACATCGTCCCTTCTACCTGGTGTGGCGAGTTGTTTACATGTAGTAATCGCTCCCATCTGGTTGAGAGCTCTCATTCATCCCTGCCCCACAGAGCCCAGTATGGGGCCTGCCACACGGTAATACAGGCTGGAGGAAGGAAGGCAAAACGAATGTGGGAAATTAACAAAGGCTCCCTATGGGTTCGTGGTCAGAGGCACATAGCTCTGTGGTCTGAGTTTACATAGTGGGTGCTCAGAATATATTAAAAATCGAAATGACATAGATCATTTTTGTAAACTTTTACTTATTTTTTTGAATGGATAAAATATTCTAAATTCAAATCCCTTACCCCTCCCAACCCTTCACCCCATCCTCCAGGCCCTCACCAGAGGCAACCTCCGCAACCAGTTCCTTTTGCATCCTTCCAGAGGACTGTGAGTGTGTGTGAGTGCGTGTGAGTGCGCGCACACACGTTAGCATGCTTTACATGCTCTTGTGCACACCTTGCATTTTTTCACACGCCTTATCTTTGAGATCCTTCTCTATCAGCATATAGAGAGCTTTGCCATTGTTTGACAACATTCATTGAATGTATTTACCTTGTCATCTGTTTATTCTGCCTCCTATCACCTGGTTATACTTGTCACACCATTTATTTAACCTGTCACCTGTTGATGAACATTTAGGCTGTTCCAAATTCTTGCTGTACAAGAGGTGACACATGAACAACCTTGGGCCTCACCAGGGACTGAGTCTCGGCCCTTTACCTCAAGCCTGGTGTGCCCCAGCCTCTGGCTCAGCCCTCCCCAGCTCTCCTGGGCTGCACTGCCGCCCCCTCCACAGCCATGGCCCCCTGTCTGCATCCCCCTCCAAACCCTTCCCAAGCCTCACTCTGTGCCAGGCTCATGCTGGCTTCTGGGTGTCCAGGCCAACAAGCCCCAGTCCCACCTTCCTGGAGCTCACAGTCCTGAGGGGGAATGGACTAGGGAGCAGCCACTTAAAATCAAGGTGGTAAGTGCTGGGAAACAGGCTGCTGCGGCCCACCTGGAAAGTCAAGTGGAAGGGCTTTTGGCTTAATCCCTGATAATCTTACCCCTGATCCAGGCTGCCGGGGTGGTTTCCTTATGACTGTGAGTGGGAGGGGGAGAAGGGGGACACAGGGTAGGGTCAGAGGAGGCGGGGCTGCCCATATGGCTGCTCTGCCTGCACGGTCTGGGCCAGGCCTAGGCCAGCTCTTGGTCTGCTGCCTGCTGCTGCCCCCACCTGTGCCCTCGCTGCCTGCTCTCCCTCTGGGGGCTTCTCTGATGACCCCACCACTCACTCCCTTATGTCAGAACCACCTCTGCTCACTTTTGAAACTAACCATCTGTCCCATCGGAAGGGCTCATTCTGGGAAGCTTATTCCACCAAGTTAATAGCTGGTGATGGGAGGGGAGGGATTGGGGGCAAGAGGGTGAATACTGTCTAAATCAGTGGTTCTCAACCTTCCTAATGCTGCGACCCTTTATTTTTTTTAAAAAAATATATATTTTACTGATTTTTTACAGAGAGGAAGGGAGAGGGATAGAGAGTTAGAAACATCAATGAGAGAGAAGCATCAATCGGCTGCCTCCTGCACACCCCCTACTGGGGATGTGCCTGCAACCAAGGTACATGCCCTTAACTGGAATCAAACCTGGGACCCTTTAGTCACCAGGCCGACGCTCTACCCAGTGAGCCAAACCAGCTAGGGCTGCCGCGACCCTTTAATACAGTTCCTCATGTGGTGACCCCCAACCATAAAATTATTTTCGTTGCTACTTCATAACTGTAATTTTGCTACTGTTATGAGTCGTAGTGTAAATATCTGATATGCAGGATGTATTTTCTTTTTTTTTTATTGCTAAAAGTATTACAAAGGGTATTACATATGTGTCCTTTTTTCCCCCCTTACCCCCGCCCTTGACAATCCCCTGACCTCCCTTACCCCCCAGTGTCTTATGTCCATTGGTTATGCTTATATGCATGCATACAAGTCCTTCGGTTGATCTCTTACCCCCCTCCCTCCTGCCCCCCAACCCTCCCTGGCCTTCCCGCTGCAGTTTGACAATCAGTTTGAGGCAGCTCTGCCTCTGTATCTATTATTGTTCAAAAGTTTGTAATGGTCTTTATTATCCATGAATGAGTGAGATCATGTGGTATTTTTCCTTCATTGACTGGCTTATTTCACTTAGCATAATGCTCTCCAGTTCCATCCATGTCGTTGCAAATTGTAAGAGTTCCTTCTTTTTTACAGCAGCATAGTATTCCATCGTGTAGATGTACCACAGTTTTCTAATCCATTCATCTACTGATGGGCACTTAGGCTGTTTCCAGATCTTAGCTATGGTGAATTGTGCTGCTATGAACATATGGGTGCACATATCCTTTCTGATTGGTGTTTCTGGTTTCTTGGGATATATTCTTAGAAGTGGGATCACAGGGTCAAATGGGAGTTCCATTTTTAATTTTTTGAGGAACCTCCATACTGCCTTCCATAGTGGCTGCACCAGTCTGCATTCCCACCAGCAGTGCACGAGTGTTCCTTTTTCTCCACATCCTCTCCAGCACTTGTCGTTTGTTGATTTGTTGATGATAGCCAGTCTGACAGGTGTGAGATGGTACCTCATTGTTGTTTTGATTTGCATCTCTCGGATGATTAGTGACTTTGAGCATGTTTTCATATGTCTCTTGGCTTTCTGAATGTCCTCTTTTGAAAGGTGTCTATTTAGATCCTTTGCCCATTTTTTGATTGGATTGTTTATCTTCTTTTTGTTAAGTTGTATGAGTTCCCTATAAATTTTGGAGATTAGGCCCTTATCAGATATGACGTTGGCAAATATGTTTTCCCACACAGTGGGTTTTCTTGTTGTTTTGTTGATGGTTTCTTTTGCTGTGCAGAAGCTTTTTATTTTGATGTAGTCCCATTTGTTCATTTTCTCTTTAGTTTCAACTGCCCTAGGAGCTGTATCAGTGAAGAAATTGCTTCAGCATATGTCTGAGATTTTGTTGCCTTTGGATTCTTCTAGAATTTTTATGGTTTCCTGTCGTACATTTAAGTCCTTTATCCATTTTGAGTTTATTCTTGTGTATGGTGTAAGTAGGTGGTCTAGTTTCATTTTCTTGCATATATCTGTCCAATTTTCCCAACACCATTTATTGAAGAGACTATCTTGGCTCCATTGTATGTTCTTGCCTTCTTTGTCAAATATTAATTGAGCATATTGGTTCGGGCTAATTTCTGGACTCTCTATTCTATTCCATTGATCTATATGTCTGTTCTTGTGCCAGTACTAGGCAGTTTTGAGAACAGTGGCTTTGTAATACAGCTTGATATCTGGCATTGAGATCCCACCTACTTTGTTCTTTCTCAGGATCGCTGCAGCTATTCGGGGTCTTTTTTTATTCCAGATGAATTTTTGGAGAGTTCGTTCTAGATCTTTGAAGTAGGCCATTGGTATTTTAATGGGAAGTGCGTTGAATTTATAGATTGCTTTGGGTAGTATGGACATTTTAATGATGTTGATTCTACCAATCCAAGAACATGGTATGTTCTTCCATGCAGGATGTATTTTCATTGTTACAAATTGAACATAATTAAAGCATAGTGATTAATCACAAAAGCAATATGTAATTATATATGTGTTTTTCGATGGTCTTAGGCGAACCCTGTGAAAGGGTCGTTCCACCCCCAAAGGGGTCGCGACCCACAGGTTGAGAACTGCTGGTCTAAATGAACTCTTCTTGGCCCAGAGGAGTGGACGCCAGCACTGACCTAGGGCACCAGGGCCCCTATCATGGGAAGCCACCCAAGCCCCCTCAAACCCCACTATCCAGACGGCTGTCCATGTGTCCCCCAGGTCACTCAGCAAGCCTTCCCACATCACTATACCCACCGCCACACCCTCCCCTGACCACCAGGAGTCCCTGGTTCACAGGCCAGCATCCCGGGAAGGGCAGCGAGGCTCACCGGCACTCACATCCCCTCCCCAGAAGGAGCGCAGGATGAGGCGTTAAGTATCATGGGGCTGGGAGGAACTGAACACATCTTCCCAGGGCTGAGCCAAGGGAGTTTCTGGCGGCTTAGTGTGTGCATA